TGAATTTAGCTGCGTCGCAGCGATTGTAAAATTTGTGTACCCTTTATTACACATAAGCAGTTGACACATGGCAAAATTGTGTTTTTCTTTCGAATAATAATTGCTATTTCCTTATCACTGTATGCATTTATCTCACATATTTATTTTTTGAAATGTTTTTTTTTTAATAACTTTTTATTGAAAATCACGTTCCGGTATATGTAGTTAATAGTACTGTTTATTTCAGAGATGAGTCAAGTTGTTTGTAAATAACTTGGTGAATGTTAAAATTAGTACATTAAATTCAATTTGTGTGGTCTAATTTTCCAATTACATTTTCACAATAATTATTATTGATGATAAGTTTTGTGTTTTATGGTAATATGTTTCGTTGATTCAATAACACGAAATTTACATCAGTTTACCTAATACAATTTTTCAGTAAATTCTTTTTTACCTACTGAGCTTAAGCTAGCTTAGGTTCAGGAAGTATAGTAATCGAGTCCATCGAACGACTGGTCACTTTTATGTTCTCGACATTTCATTAACGTACGAAAAAAGTAGTCTCCCGTTTCCGTCTGTCTGCCTGTCTGTCTATCTAGCGTCTGTGTCGATTTTTATTAGACACGGAATCTCCGAAACTACTGGACCGATTGCTGTCAGATTTTGTACGTATATTAGGAATACCGTCTTTAGAAGGTAAAACACTAACCAAAATTTGTTTAGTCATCCCCACCAATAATTTGATGATGTCATTCCAAAGAATTCTATTTTAAAATTATTTAAATGCTATACAATAATATACTCCTATATCTATTTGTGATATACGAATCTGGTTTGAGTTTTTTCCCAAACGGCCAAATGTTCACAAAAGTTAACACAGTATAACATTTTAGCACTAACTCAGGATATGACCGTCCGTGACCATGCAGTTAAGGCGTTAGTATACGGGCCGGCAGTACGATGTCAAACTTGGTCGTTTGTTTTTTTCCCTTATTTATGTTTATGACGTGGTAACATTTTTTTTTATTGATCAAATTAAAAACAAATCACCCCGTTTTCTCGAAAAGGTGAGAATACGCACGAGTTCTACGAGTCATTCTTCTATTGTATAAACAAATACTTAAAGTTACAGCTTGTTATTATTGCTGAGAGCCCATTTTTCGCTTCGGTTATCTGCTTTAAATATATTTGACATTGTATGTGCTTCTGCAATCTTCACAACCCCTTGCAACAAGGGCTGCGGGGGTTTTATTTATACCACTGGTTTTCTTTATAAAGGTTATCACTAAGCAAACATCGCAAAATATAATTTTATAATTTTTCAAAGAAGGTATGATTATTGTGTATTGCATAAGCACCTCATGACATATTTCAGAACAATATTGTAAACTTAATTTACAACTGGATTTGGCTTTGTTGATATTATATAATGTATGTCTTATACTAGTTGTGATGTACTTGATTAGTTTCTTCAATATTTTCATAATAGACTCGTTAAGTTAAAAATTTTTGGGGGTAATTTTTTTCCATTAAAATTGTTAATTTTTGTTTTATAAACTTCAATACTTCATTGTTTAATTTACTTGATTTCCTGACTTTCACACACGCTCATGGACATATAACTTGTGTAAGAAACCCAACGGTGTATCGGTATACAGGAGGTAAACTAGTTATTGACAACGTTTCGAATACGATTTACTCCTTTTCGAGATTTAAACCACTATTTACTCCCATAATAATTATTTATGACGTGCGTCATTGAAACAGTACGTTGTAAATATTGCATTTGAACAAGAAAAGACAATTAAAACCTGGAAACACGTAACATATTTAAGTATATCTTTTGCAGATTATGGACACTTTATGACAGGGTGACATTCTCTTATAAAAGTACATTGACAGCTAAACTGGATATGATTTATTCTATGCGCGTAACAAACTTTTTAAAAAATGTTTTAAAAGTTTTTTTATACAATAAAAATCACAAATCAACAATGGTCATTTGAAAAAATCAGAATAAGGTAAATTTTGTCCACGGCTTTTAATTATCACTTTAACTACAAATCTAAAGATATAAGCCAAGAACCAACGGAAATTAATCATACAGGAATGTTTTCTAAAAGAAGATCGACCGACAGCAGAATTTCAGCCTGCGTTTTGTAGAAATATAAACACTTCCTCTTTTGCGTGAGGTGCAGAAACCGAAAGCCGCCTTTTCAACACATCATTATTTCAAATATTTGCGGAATTTTTCCGTCACAACAACTATTACAGACAAGTCGGCCTATTAAAACCGTTTCTGTAGCACGTTCGTGCAAAAATCCGCACTCCTGAAAGAGCATGAAAGCCGACGACTCAATTTGGCATGCTTCAACCATTTATTCCGATATGGTACCTCGTAAAAAAAGCTTGAAAATGTGCACGTAGTGCGCCAGATGTCGTTTATTAAATTGCCGTCACATTCCGGTGACATTTCGAGAAACAAATTCGAAACAAAAAAGCGCGTGGGACGCGGATATCGCCGTCCACATTTGATTTTTTTCAGCAGATAAGATGTCCGACACGTGTCGCTAGCATGTTTCATAAATGAACTGGATGTCTAAATCTTGACTGGGTAATGTATTAGTTTCAGGTTGGAAGTTATTAGACCGGAAGGGTGCCTGCGTTAAAGGCTTTTGAAATATCATCCCGCTCCCGAAACTTGTATAAATGATGTGTGGAGAGAATTAATGGGGGCGCTTTTATTGTGATCTTTGCAAATTGGAGCGTTTAGAGTACACCCACGCAATCGACCGATAAGTTGCCACGAAAGCTTCAACAAAAATTTAGAACGATTAGAGAAACCACGGGGGACGACTCGGAGACGTTACTGGGTCAGAAAGCTTCATGAAAAATAATGTGCTATTCTTCCGGAGCTTTACTCAACTTTAAGGATTAAAGTTTCCACCGTTTACTACCTTTGAACGGCGCAAACAAAACAACGTTGCGTTGCAAAGCGTCCAGTTTAAAATGGATCTGTTTCCTCAAATCATTACCATAAACGAATTAGCAACATTAACACAACTGAGCATGTTTACTGCCCCAACTGTTTTTCACTTATTTATTTACACAGCCTCCTTACCATTTGCGTTCAAACATTCTTTCTTTTTAAGTTATTATTTACGTATTTGGCAATATCTTTCCAGATAACGTCAAATTTCAGTTTTGTTATGTAACGACAGCCGTTTTCTTTAATATTATCAAAATTTTCTCCCAACTATTGTAAACTTGACGAATGTCTAATTTACGTTTTTTTGGTGATTTTCTTTTATGTTATCTCTTTTTATTTCCCAAGCGTGAGCTAAGGAAGTATTGTAATCGAGTCCGTCGGGCGACCGGTTACTTTCATATTTTCTCGATGTGTCATGACCTCTAGAATATAACAAAATGGGTCTCCGGTTTCTGTCTGCCGTAGTATAATCGTAAACGTGGATAGATCCACAACGTTGTATTTTGAAAATGTAAGCAAAAGGTAAGCAACCCTAAAATACAACATATTACTAAAGTACAAGAAGTACTGTACCTTAAAACATATTTTACAGTAAGTAATTTTTTAGACGATACGAATATGATACACGGCCACTACAAAGTCCTGGAACGGTCGAATAACTTTGTTATTCGAAAAACATTATTTTAGAAATGTAGTGTGGATATAGGCTTTTTTAAAAATACCGAATTGATTCTTTTTTTATTACTTTCACAGAAAAGGCTTCCTACTTTTCTTCAATGGGACACTGAGATTTTTTTGATATATTTTCTGATGCAGAATAAAAAACTACTCTCAGAAATTAGCAATACATTTTTTTCTACTGATATAAAAATACAAAAACAACAATCGAATCCTAAGTACTATCAAACAACTAAACATAATTATAAACCGTTCAGGATGTTTTTAGACAAAAGTGAGCCATGAATTTTTTTCTTCACTTTGGATAAACTGATTTACTGACAAAACGATTTGTCTATCAGTGCGAGACATTCATTTGAGGCTGGTTTGCCACGTTTAGTGTTATTTAGAAATCCTATTATCAAGTTGCAACACTTCTGACTTCTGTCATTAAAATGTAAAATGCCGATAATTATTTTGTTACAACAAAAAATTTCAATAAAGAAGTGGTATCTGCAAAAAAAGATAGTCCCTAACTCAAGCGTGAAGAGTGAATGATGAGAATAGTAAACATATTTTCTGTGACTTTTAAAGTTTTTAAATATTTGTTAATTACAAAATTATTGTAGGTCAGTCGCTCATTTGCAAAGAAAATTGTCGTCACTATAGACGAAAATTTTAAAACTTCATCTTCTTGCAAGTGAAAACCCACTGACACTTTTTCAAATTACAGCTGGTTTCAAAAAAAACGGGACAAATGACAGTGACATGAACGTCATATTCCCATTGCTTTTTATTGATCTATGATAACCTGATTTGCTCATCTTGTCCCTTTTTTTTTTAAACCAGCTGTATGTATTTAGAAAATATCTGCATACCTGCAATGACTACTTTGACAATATAACTAAAAAAATGAATATTTTTGGCTGATTCGCGAAAACATTTTGAAATTAAAAGGGGGTGAGCAAAATGTACAAAATGTTCAACTCGATGGAGTACAAACATAGGAAGGTAAACGGTCACAAAATTTTATGTGAACAAAAAAAAAACATGTTGCAGCAAAAATTACTTTTTTGAGAAAATTCCTTCAATTTCAATTCTTGTGAGCATTTAACATTCGTGTACCTCGATGAAACTTCATCCAAGGATAGGGTGAAAAATTTATGCCTGGAAACTCTCAATGTGCTCCAAACATGTGGCAAAATTTTTGTGGACATGTGGATGCGACTGGAGGAAATTTACCAATCGAAAGGCGACATTGCTGAAAGGCTTGATAATGGGAAATCTTTCGTATGAAGACATATTAAAGGACGGTATGGTAAAAGGGCAATAAAAAACCGCAGGAGCTACACCCTAACATATATTGATTGATATACAAACATAAGATGTTTTAACAGTACGGAGGTCGCAAGCAGAGAGAAAGTACGATCCGCTACCTGGTCCAGCACATGCGCCCCTGGAAGGGTGCGAACTACCGTCTTCTTTAACACTTGCCATCGGGACCTGGGTCGCGTTCTTCTTGGGACGCTCACTCGCGCCCCTACTCGATGACGATGATCCCTGAGGACTCCACACACCACGAGTGCTTGGGTAGCCCCTTCGTCAAAAAGTTGGCGACCCGTTTCTCCGTCGCCACGTAATCCATCCGCGCTCTTCATCCCCGTCTTCATGGGAATCTCGAACAGGAAAGTATGTCCGACATCATCGACGTCCGTCGTTTCCTGAGCTGGTACGGTCAGGAACTCTTTTCTCGGCCTGCCCCGCTGCCCTGTCCTAACAAACCTGGGTCGACCTGGGGCCCTGACGTGATGACTGCCGTCGTCGTCCACTTGGTCTCTTCCAGGTCCGTCGGCGTCGTTCGCGTCCAAGCCCTCTCTCCAGGTAGAACACCCTGCTGCCGAACACTCTTAGGTGGGAGACGCTCGGTACCTTCCCCGTCCACGCTTCGTACGGCGTTCAGCCGGCCAAACTCGCCGTGGGCAATCGATTCCGCAGGTAGTTTGCGGTGTTCACCGCCTCGGCCCAGAACGTGTCCGGCAACCCCGACTTCGCCAGAAGACATTGGACAGTATCCAGGAGGGTGCGGTTCTTCCTCTCTGCCGTGCCGATTTTCTCTGGTTTATATGCCACCGTCAGGCGCCTGGTGATGCCTTCTTCAGGTATCCTCGAACTCACGTCTCGTGTACTCACGACCATTGTCGGACTGAATGCACTTCACGGTTCTCCCCTTTTGGTTTTTCACGAGGCCGTCGCCTTGAACACCTCTGACTTGCATCTTAGGAATCTGACCTCGCACCATTTGGAGTGCTCGGCGATGATCTCGACGAAGTACCTGGCCCTCCCGAGGGATTCCGTTCTCATGTGTCCCCGCACGTCCGTGTGCACCAGGTCCAAGAGGTCCGATTCCCGGTTTGAGTTCTTTGGGAAGATGACCAGAACCCTTCTGGTCATTTTTCCCCTGTAAGCATACATCACAAATGAAACTTTTTGTTGGGTTCATGAATTTCACGATGTCCACGCGGTTGTTTCGGGCGGTGTCGGAAATGTCTTTCGTGTTCACGTGCCCCATGCGTGAGTGCAGGGTAGTAGCTCGAGAGTGACGCGGTTGTTTCGCGCACTCGACAATGCCACACTCGCGTCGCTCGTTGATTAGCGCACAAATTGCCGATCCTCTTCACGCATAGCCCTCCTTTCTTGTCCAGATTCGCTGCTTGTCTTTTTCGAAAACGCACTTCGAACCCGCGATCGGTCATCTTGCTGACGGACATGAGGTTCGTATGCAAGTGGCGCACGTGTAGGGACTTGCTTAGCAAAACTGCAGTTCTCTCACCGGTCGCGTCCGTCGCAAAAGTGCTGTACCCTCGCCCATGGTCCCAGTAGTTGCGTCGTTCGCGATGCTTAACGTACCGCGATTCCAATCACTGAATTCGCGGAAAAGTTCGATGTTGTTGCACATATGCCTGGTAGCTCCGCTGTCCAAACACCAGTCGCGACTTCGATGCGTTGGCACTTGCGACGAAGCCTGTAGACACACGTTGTTGGCGCGTCCGTCGAGTCCGCTTCCCTGCTTACGTTGACACTCGGCCGCCTTGTGGCCCAGTTGCCGGCACTTAAAGCAACGGATTTTCGAGTTTTAACTCCCAGTGGCGTGTTTCTCCCTTCGACCCTTGGCTGCTTCCTTCGTAATCGCACCGTCCGCCATCTTTGTTGGCCACAATAGCGCCGGAAGATTTTTCTGCGCAGGCAATTCGTGACGTGACTCAATGGCACATTGAAAAAGTTCAAAACTGGCTGGCAGGCTATACAACAAAAGGATCGTCAAAAGATAAGGATTGATGTTCACGTCCATGTCGCCTAATTTGTCGACCGAGTCGAAGAAATTCGCCAGGTGTTCACTCACGTCGTCGCCTTCAGCCATTTTGTGCAGTATCAAGCCTTTCAGCAATGTCGCCTTCCTTACCTTTCGATTGGTAAATTTCCTCCAGTCGGATCCACATTTCTCGCGTTGTCCCGCAGTGCTTCACTTGCTTCAGCTCGGTGGGGCTAATCGACAGGATGATGTCCGATCTTGTTTTAAGACCATTTGTGACCCACATATTCAAGCTTTCCATCTCCGTTTCGGGTTTCTTGCACTTTCCGCAGACGTAGTTCCATAAGTCGCTCTTGATGTGTACCGGCTGCTCCAATGACGCGTTTCCCGAATTCATCATCATCATTTTAACACATACTTTCGCGGTTACGCGTGTCCTGGGCCTATAACCTATTAAAGGAAGATATGGTTAAAGGGCAATAAAAATCCGTAGGAGCTACAGCCTAACCTATATTGATTGCTACACAAACACATCTTAACAGTACGGAGGTTTGCAAACACAGAGAGAGTACGATCGGCTACCTGGGCCGTAACGCAGCGATCCGAAACTCGCTCATGCGCCTCTGAAAGGGGCGAACCACGGTCTTCTTTAACAAGACATTTCTCCTTTCATTATCCACTACGTGAATTAGAGAACGAAAATGATGACTCAAATTTTTCTAGTCAAATAATCGAAATGGAATAAAATACTAAAGCGTTACTTGGTAGAGGCTTTTTTTTAATTTCAGAAATTGTTTAACTGAAAGGAACATGTATTACGATTCTTTAAATGACTATTTTATTTTATGTTGTATCATTTTACTTTCTGGATGGATGCTGTGAGCTTTTAAGATCCAAAAACAATGGTAGACACTACCATAAAACTATGGACGGTGATCTCTTCAAATAATGAGTGCAAAACCAGTTAATTCCTGCTTTACAATTTGACGCGTTCAAAACTGTGAGTGTGTTAGATAACGCACCTTACCATTCTGTCCGCCTTGAGAAACCTCCTATTCGCTCAATTAATAAAATTATAATGCAAGGTTTTCTAAAAAAATAATATTAGTTTTGAACCAACCTTCACAAAAAAGCAACTGTGGGAATTAATTGAACCTCTCTTATCTACTTGTCCCACAAAATATGAAATTGACACAATTTGTGGTAATAACGGAATAGATGTATTAACGCTTCCTCCTTATCACTGTGAGTATAATCCCATCGAACTGGCTTGGTCTCATTGTAAGCGTTATTATAACAAACACATAAATATGTTGACCGATGATACGGACAGAACTATAAATCTGTGGACTGAAGCAGTAACTAGCTTTACTCCTGAAATGTGGAGAAATAGTATTAAGTACTGTGAACAACTCATTCGCGACGACTAGTGCAAATATATGGGCAGTTTCAGTGTTCTACCGATTATTATTATAAACTTGGCGGAAGATGCAGACGACTCTGACTCTGATTTTTTAATTTCGTCAGATGATGAGTCAGATCTGGAAATAATAGACGTCTCTAGTACTTATTGTTCTCATTTTTATTTTTTTAATAAATTTTTTCCTCATCTGCATTTTATTTAGAGCATTATTCGGGTATACGAACGGTCAAACAGTCCAAAGTTCTTAGGTTAAAATTCGAGTCCGCTATAAATGTTAAACTATCAACGTGCTGGTGGTACACACAATCTTCTCTATCAACAATACTTATTCCGCAAATTCTACATGTATTATTATAATTACAAAGGAAGACAACTCTTAACTTTTGACAGAAGCAGACAAATCTAACCTCTTTTTAATTTGTTTCTTTTTGTACGTAACATTGTCTATACTTCAATGGTTGCTTAGTATTTTACTATTACCTACTTTTTTTGTTCAGTTCTCCTGATTGTATGTGTAATTGAATAAGCTACAAGATCACAAGTTGAATTATTAAACAAATACATATTTTTTTGAGTAGTAATATAATAAAATTGCATATTCGTTTGATGAACCCACCACTTCCATTACTATTAAAGACTTGAGCTGCCAGATATTTCATTTTTAATTTCTCCCTCATTAACTGTACCCAAAATTTTAACCGCATCTTCTTTTTTTGGACATTTAATAGTTAAACTACCATTGTGACTTTGCTTAGTGTTATAGTAACAACAATATCGGAATTAATTTGATTACAAAATCACAATCTTGTCAAAGTCGACTGGTTTCGAAGTGTTAATTAATGCACTTTTGAAAGTGATTAGAGGACCGACGATCCCTAATCGCCATTTTTTTAGACTAAGGTATTTAAGAGTATAGGAATAGTCTTCAGTGTGATTACTGGTGCGAATGTCGCACTATTTCCTCCATTCCCTGGACGGGTAGCAGTCCTATTCGACAGAAGTGAATCAGACGCATCTGCATTCTTACCCATTTTTTTTTCGATGTTTTGTATACGTACAGATAGTAGTGAAAATAAAATAATAACTCGAATAATATATTTAATCGACTACTTGAGAAACGACATTTGATTTTCCTGAAATTGTGGAAACAAACTAATGTGATTATTGTTACATTCTACCGACTAAAGTAGTTGTATTTATTATGATTCAAAGATTGATGGCGTTATTTCGAAAAATTTATGCGGTCATGCTTCAGAAACTAAGAAAACTGTGTGTAAATAGCGTTACAGATTTTTTATCTCTAAAATGAAGTACGATAATCGCATCAGGATAATGCTGTAATCTACGTGTTGAGCACAAGCTGAAATGCCTGAAAAATGATCTCCACTCATGCAATGCGCGCATTTTTCATCGTTAAGTTCAGTTAATTATTGTGTAGTAATCAGATAAAACCCATCTTAATGATCTTGATGATATAGCAGGTAAAGCACCGGCGGACCGAAATTAGGTGTAGATAAGTAGCAGGTTGTGAAATTACAAAGTCATTTTCACGCTCTACTGAATACAGTCATACTTGTATCTCCGTGACCTTTCCACTGGGATATGGCTTTTAGGACACGACGGGGTTTCAATTAAATATAAACATCATCTAATTAAAATGAAAGGGGAAGAGTTAAATTACGTGAAGAAAGCTGTGTTTCATTAGGCACCTGCTTTAATCTCTACACATCCAATTTTTCTAATTAAAACATTAATGATTTCTGTGGAATAATTAAACGGTTTATTTGATCCTTTTTTTTTTGACGGCTGCAAGCTTGACGAGCAAATATATCATCACTAATTCAATCGCATGTGTTTACAATGGCGTCGAGGAAACGTTTAATGTAATTTATTATTTTTATTATTTGGATAGCGACCTGTCCCGAACAGATGCATCCAACATTTTAAATGTTGTGACAGCTCAATTTATTTCCGATTGTAAAATTAGCATATTTTGTAACTCTAGCTAATGAAATCCGGGATGCTTGTGGAATTGACCGACGTCAAATAAACATTACTTTAAATAAAATTTGGAATATCTTCGATCGTGCGGTTCTTAATTAATTCAACTTTATTGCCTTGATCGTTATTGTCACATTATCTCTAACAAGAGTTTCATCAACAGCTGTAACTCATAACATCAATATAGTCTTTCAAAACAAATTACAAGCCATATCCACCTTCCATTAATTAAGCTTCTCAAATAGGTTACTGTGGGATATTTCTTCTTAATTCTTTTTTTTTTCGTTTCTTAACTATGATAACTAGTTTTAGTGAAGCACCGGTGATATAATCATAATTTATTTTCACATACGTAACAGCATGTACACAACACATCGAACTTAAATAGCCTTTTAGACCGAAAATATTTATTCTGAATACGTTTAACTCCTCACCACTGGTTTTTATGTACAAAAACTCATTACAGAATATGACACGCTGCACAATTCATTTTATTAAATTATTATTTAACAAAATTACACCAAATTTGCAACCAATTTCGCATTTTCTCAGTTTTTTTAACAAATAAAGTGTCTGGTAGTGAAATAGAATGTACTCCTTCAGAACTGAGAGCATCTACACAAAAAAATTGCTCTAATGTTATTTCGACAGAACTTCCCTCGGCCCTGAAGCGTGCAACCCGACAAATCCCAGTTCTTTGAAAAATTATAAAAAAAAATGCGATTGTTGTTTTCTGATAACCGTATAACCTATAAACTAGTGGCGTAAATAACATGCAAGCTCCTTTTTGACTTGAATTTTTCAATCTTCAACTTTTCTTTTTTTTTTTTGTTTCTCCAGTGTTTCGATTTGCAATTTTTCGAGTTTTCAGATTTACATTTTTTAATTTTTTAATTTTCCAACTTTTGAATTTTCCAATTTTTAGATTTAGTTATTTTATCAATTTGAGTTTCACGAACTTTGAATTTTTCATTTCTTCAAATTTTCTGGTTTTATATTTTTTTTATTTTTACAATTTCAAATTTTACAAGTTTTCGTTCCTTCATTTTTCCATTTGCAATTTTTCAGTTTTTCATTTTCTATGTTATGATATGCATATCTTCAAATTTCATTTTTAAATTTTTCAATTTTTGCAATTTTTCGGTTTTCATTTTCTGAATTTTTCAACTTTTCGTTTCTTCAATTTTTTACTTGCAATTTTGCTAGTTTTCATTGAAAATATGTAATAAGTAAGACCTGCGATTTTTTTTAATAAAGTTCTAGTCAGTTCCATTCTTCTGGTGAATATTTAATGATACATGTACCCTTTTAGTAATTAAATGACAGATCTTAACACACGAAAAATATTTCAGATTTTGAATATTTCAAATGTCAAAATGACAGGAAGGCAAATATATAAATCTTACCATAGCCGACTAGATCTTACCAACCTTTTTCAGTTTTAAACAAAGTTGGCATATTTAAAAAATAGATAATATAAATCATTGGAATGAGTTTGTGATTGTTTGCTGTTACCCTTATCCAAATTTCAAACCATCTGCAGTTGACTAATTAAAGCTGAAACAGCTAATTACGGTCATCTGTCGCCACTCCACCAAAATAACGAAGTATAACATCCAAAATATAATTAAACGAGTCGTGGTTGATGTCACATAAACTATTAATTAAATTATAATTACTACACATGAGTACTATCGATCTGGTTAAGACATTAGTTCTGCATGTGTTACAGTTTAAACAATTTCTGTTATTAAATCTAGAAATTTGAAATACAATTTTACTTAACAAATGAATACAGTCGGTTTTGTAAGTGAGAAAGCTATGTAGGAGTTTAACACTAAAAATTAAACGCCTAGTGTGAAGAAGGCTACAACTAAATCTGGCCAGCAGAGCGGTGTGATTATATCCCCGTGGAGGATAAACACCGTCCATTAGGAATGAAAGAAATTTAAGATATTTCCGCTGTACTGACTCAACTTAATGTACATAGGTAGAATAAATAGGATACCATATAACAGTAGCATGTTCTAACCTAGAGCGTATGAACGAATAATACAAATTAAGCAGAGCTTGTACATTGGTAAAAGGATATGATTTCTAAAAGTGAATTTATAATCAAA